AATGCCACGATTTTCTGTGGAAGAAAGCAACATATTCACTCCATTAAAACCAAAGCACCTCCTTCCAGCCCCACAACGAGCCTTGCTGGCAATTGCAGAGAACTCGCTGTTCCACGTCCAAGACCGGCTCCAAGCAAGCAACAAAACAAGGAAGCCAAAATATTTCCAGGTTTACGTTTGAATCCCTCCCTTCTTCTCTGCCCTGACAACATCCCGAACAGGCATGCTCCTCCCCTGCTGCCACCTTCCCCAGCCCCCGGCCCCGCTCCCAGCACTGGGGAGGTGTTGTTTTAACAGCCTCTAAGCCCCCCTTCTCAATTTCAGCTTAATGCTGCGATCACGTCCCTCCCTGACGCTGAAACAAAAGCCATTTATCAACCAACCCGATACACCTCCAGCAGGGATGGATCCATATCTGGAATCAATCTCATTGCCCAGATGGACCAAGGGCAGAAAATTCCATTTTTAATTTTTTACATACATATATTATTATTATTTTTTAATATATTAACAGCCAAAATGGCAAAGCTGAAGACAAACGCACCACGGCTGGGCTGCTAGACAGAGCAGCTCAGTCTGCGCCTACGAGGGCTGCGTGTGTGTAGGAGCCAGCTTGTTCTCTGCAGTAAGAGCCCGATGACTTCATCAAGGGGATGGCATCTGGTTTTGCAGTTGGCCATAATTCAATTCTCCCCCTTGCTGCAGGAATTTCAGCTGGTGAAGCAGTGATTTACTCAGCCGGGCTGCACTTGAGTGCAAAGCAATCTTGAGGCTACAATCGAACGCCCTGTTATTTTGAGAGCTCACGGACAAGGGAATAAATATCCTCTTATTTTCATCCCAGCAGTCGCCAAGTGCAGGGTATAAAGCTTTTTAAAGGCATTCAGGGGCTCTCTTCTTACAAGTGTGTTCCAGGTGCTGTGCACAGCCAGGCAGGGCCTTGCCTGCACAGATCACTCCTGATCTGCAGCATCAAAACAGGATTTGCCAGGACAGGCAGAAAAAGGTCAGGCACCTGCCACACCACAGCTGCATCCCTAAGCATCCCCCATCCTCTCTGAAACCCAGTCCCTGTCACTCAGCACACTTCACTCCTGCCTTGCAGCAGCCCCAAGATCACCCCAACCTCCTTCAAACCACCTGGAACCCTAATGCTCTTTTGGGCCTGGGTTCCCACACTCCTCACTCCTACCTCTTATTCCATGTTTGGTGTCTGTTCCAAAGGGCAAAGCAAATTAAACCAAATCAAGCCCAACCAGAGGGACCAAGCCCATCGCCTTTGACTTTCTTTGCTGTCCTGCTAACGCTTATCCCTTGGGAGCTGTACGACTTGGCTTGGGGAGGGGGGTCTTCCAAAGGACTGGTGGGGTGAGAAGGGGCTCACTCAGGCTGTGCACCGCCCTGCAGAGCCCAGGGTTGTTTTATTGGACGTGCCCATCAGGGAGCCAGAAGAGAGACAGCAAAACTCATTGTTGCTGAGGCCTGATCCCGCGCTGCAGCCTGGCTCTCCAGGGCAGCAGGTTGGTGCCGAGACCCAACCGAGCCTCCAGGTTAGGAAGTTTTTATGGCTGCCCAGCCCTGTGAGCACTTTCATGTGCACATCCAACTTGGTGCAGCTGTTTAGGCCACAAAGAAGGAAATCTCAGCTGCTGCCATCATAAAACCTAAGTCACTTTTAATATCATGCCACGATTTTCTGTGGAAGAAAGCAACATATTCACTCCATTAAAACCAAAGCACCTCCTTCCAGCCCCACAACGAGCCTTGCTGGCAATTGCAGAGAACTCGCTGTTCCACGTCCAAGACCGGCTCCAAGCAAGCAACAAAACAAGGAAGCCAAAATATTTCCAGGTTTACGTTTGAATCCCTCCCTTCTTCTCTGCCCTGACAACATCCCGAACAGGCATGCTCCTCCCCTGCTGCCACCTTCCCCAGCCCCCGGCCCCGCTCCCAGCACTGGGGAGGTGTTGTTTTAACAGCCTCTAAGCCCCCCTTCTCAATTTCAGCTTAATGCTGCGATCACGTCCCTCCCTGACGCTGAAACAAAAGCCATTTATCAACCAACCCGATACACCTCCAGCAGGGATGGATCCATATCTGGAATCAATCTCATTGCCCAGATGGACCAAGGGCAGAAAATTCCATTTTTAATTTTTTACATACATATATTATTATTATTTTTTAATATATTAACAGCCAAAATGGCAAAGCTGAAGACAAACCATGAAAGCCAAAACAAACCAGAGTACAAGGGAGAGAGCTAAGCCTGACACCTGGGACAAAACACCCAGGTCCAGATTTTGTAAATACAAGTGGGTGCAGAAGAAAACTGTCTGCAAGAAAACTCAGCACAGCCTGTCCTGGAAGGCTCAGGCCAGGGTTAGCTGAGCACCCTGAGAAATCAGGGTCCCAGCTGGGAGTGGAGAGTGCCCGTTAGCATCCAACTTTGGGACCTGGCCCAAGCCCTGAGCAGGACTTCTGCCAGGGTGACTGTCAGCAGTGGCCTGCTCTGCCCAAACCTCCCTCCTCAGCTGCCCCACACTCAGTGGTGACCCCGACCCACGCAGAGGGGACCCAGCCCAAGGGGGCTCGACGGTGGGGGCTGCTCAGGAGGCAGGAGGGTGAAGCCATTGGTGTGAGAGCAGCACACGTGGGAATCCAGGCCAGGGTGTGTGTGTGTAGGGGGGAGGTTAAGCAAATAAATAAATAGGGCAGGACTCAGCCAGGCACTGATCTGACACGCCAAGCGCCCACTTGGGCAGCCTCCAGTGGCCCTGCTCACCCAGGGCTCTCAGGAGGGGTGGCAAAGCTTCTGCAGAGCTGGGAACCTGCTGGCACAGCAGAAATTCCCAGAAAGCACAGGGAAGGGAAAAAAAAAAAAAAGGGCATTCAACAAAAGCCCTGGGCAGGCTCCCACCCCTCTGCTCGGGGAGCACCGTCCCCGCCTGCGCCCCGCTCCTGCGGGCTCCGGATTGCCTCGTTCTGCCAGTTCTTTGCACCTTATTTGACTGCTGAAGGGAGAATCAAACAAAGCAGGCAGCCAGATCTCCTATCAAGTTCTTTCTTGCACCGTAAATCTCGCAGCCTCAACGCTTTGCAACTCAAACGCTCCGAAAAGGGCGTTAAGCAACACAGATGGGAGCAGGTCCAGAGAGAGGGGGGGAAAAAAACCCAAAAAACCCCAAAAAACAACACAGGGGGTTCAGCTCCCAGCCTGCTGGGAAGTCCCTTGGGGAAAAGCGGGGTCCGAAGGGACACCTCAGTGCTAAGGGCAGCGCTGGATTGGTTTGCTTTCCTGCATGAGGACTAGGAGGGCACTGGGAGTGGGGGGGGGGAAAAGAGGGCGTGAAGCAGTTATTTATTTATTTACTCCATGTGTGTGCAAAGCTGCTGCACCCACGGTTATGCAAAAGAAAGGCAGAGGCGATTTAAAAATTAATAAAATTCAAAATAAAAATAAAAAAGGAGGGGGGGGGAGACGTTTTACTAAACTAAAAGGATAAACGGGGAGCTCGAAGCATTAGGGTTTTTTCCTTCTCCCTTCTGCTTTCTCTCCTTTTCCCCCTTGCAAAAAAAAAAAAAAAAAAAAAAAAGAGGTAAAGAAACTGGAGAGTTTTGGAAGGAACAAATCCGCCTCTGTGGACTGGGTTTCCCCTCCCCCAACAAAAACAAGCACTCAGGGCTTGAAGGAATTTGCAGGCAGAGATCTGCCAAAAACATTGTGAAAAACTATGGGGGATTCATTGGAAACAGATGGCGTTTTCAGCTGTAATTCTGAAATTCTCTCCTTTTCTGACACAATACAAACAAACCGGGGCTGGGGGGGAGGCAGAGCCCAGCACTAGGTGCGAGCGGCCGGGGCTGCGCGGGGAAGGGCTCGGCCGGGGCAGCCGATGCTTTGCCGGGACCATTTGGTTGCCATCCTGCCCTCGGACAGCTCAACAGCTCCCGGCTCGG